TTTTGAGTTGTAGTACTGGAGAAGAGTATTGAACATACCATGAACTGTTAATAGAACAAACAAGTCCATCTTGCTGAGGGTGAAACTACGTTGCTCCTTGGAGGCAAAGATTTTGAAGCTGTGTCTCACATACTTGGGCCTGTTGTTAGGAGAAACCAGACCCTGGAGAAGGATATCATGCTTGGAAGGGTAGAGGGACAACACAAAAAAAGGTGATCCTAGATGAGATGGTTTGACTCAGTAACTTGGGTTATGGGGGTAAGTGTGCCAGAGACAATGAAATTGGCTCAAGATAGAGCAGGGTTCAGAGTTGCTGTGCATATGGTTGCTATCAGTCACAAGTGACTCAGTGCCATATAAACACAACAGCAGGAAGCTGGTGATGGTTCACAGAATTTTCTTCTAGTATTTTTATCAAATATACTCTTCTTATCTCTCTTAGTCTCAATTTCTCAATTCCTAAGAAAGAAAAATAGCACAATCTCTATTTTATTTATTCTTTCCTTAACATTTTAATACAATTTTTTAAAATTGTGATATTAACAAAAATTTACAAAAAAGTTAGATTTCCATTCATTCACTGTTGTACATTTTTATCCCCCCCTCCCTTCAGTCTCTCCAGTTCACTAAAAATAAATTCATTTACTGTTGCATGATTACCTCCCACCCTCAAATCTCCGGTCTCCCTGTCCTCTTTGTAGTACCTCTTATTCTGGGCTGTTGTTGTATATTTATAATGCTTAATATATTCCTCTTAAACAGTTTTTTCTTTCATCTGTTTCAATGTAATATTCATTATCTATCCACTCTTATCCTATTCTCCCAAACCCACATGTCAGACCTGCTTTATAAAAGTGGTGCTATGCAGTATTTGTCCTTTTGTGACTGAGATATTTCACTCAGCAATACATTCTGCAGGGTCATACATGTTGTGTAACCTTTTTGAGTTGGTTTTCAGTGCTGCATAGTATTCAATTGTATGAATATAGCATAGCTTTTCTATCCATTTGTTTGTTGATGGGCACTTGGGTTGCTTCCATCTCTTTGCTATTGTAAATAATGCAGCAATAAACATAGGTGTGCATATATCTGTTTGGATGGTGGTTATAGTTTCTTTAGGGTATATTCCCAGTAGTGGTATTGCTGGGAAAAATGGAATTTTTATTTCTAATCTTTTGAAAAAGTGTCAAACCGCCTTCCATAGCACACTGTTTTACACTCTCACCAACAGTGACTAAAAGGGTTCCAATTTATGCACAATTCAAGTTCTCATCAACAAATGAATGGATAAAAATCTATGGTATATTCATACAATGGAATACTACACAGTACTGAAAAAACAATGAACTTATATTACACAACATGAGGGACCCTACAGGACATTATTCTGAGTGAAATATCTCAGTCACAAAAGGAAAAATACTACATAGGACCACTGTTATAATGCAAGTCTGACATACGGGGTTGGGAGGAGAATAGGATAAGAGCAGATAGATAACATTGCATTGGAACAGATAAAGGAAAGAACTGTTTGAAAGGAATACATGGTTAGATCAACAGCCAGAATAAGAGGTGTATTGCAAAGATGACTGGAGGAAGGGTGGAGAGGTAAATGTACAACAGTGAATGAATATTTTAAAAAAGTGAACTGGGGCAAAGGGAACAGAGGGAGAGGGGGTAAATGTACAACAATAAATGAATGAAAATCTAAAAAAAAAGTCTTTAGAAATGGCACTGTTAAATGAAAAGGGCTCTCTTGCTCCAAAATCTTTTTTATTATGGACATATTTTCACAATTTTTTATATTGTTGGTGAAAGTCATAGAGAAAACAGTTTTCCCCCCTTTCTTGCTTTCAAGATATCTGCCTACCTGTCTATTATTTCAGTATCATAATTCTAAATATCCCCTTCACTCTGCTCTGCACAGGATCCTGAAAGGTTAATATGACTCCACAGTTCTATTTCATACTAAACCTAACTGTTTCTGGAAGCAGATCAAAGGCTAGTTCCACTAATTATAAGCTGCATAATCGTGCCCTTATTATATAGTGTAAGACTCAGTTTCTTCATCTGAAAAATGCAGATAAGAGTATAAAAATGCAGATAAGAGTATAATGGTTGTATAGATTAAATGTAAAACATCTAGTTGAATGTTTTAGACAGTAGATTCTCAATGTATTCTATTTATTGATATTAAGGTCAATAATCTGCTGGCACTTAAACTTTTTATTTTTAAAGCCAAACTTATTACTTTTGCCTCCAACTTTATGTAACCGTTATAGATTTTCTCAATAAATGATTACAATGCTTTATCAGTTCACCACATTCAGACCCTTGGTCCCGGCCTCCACGGGAAAAGAGTTTCTGATATTTTGCAATACCACCTCTATGCCAGCCTTCATTTTCATTTCTCAAATTTAAATTAACTTTATTATTTATTGAACACTTATAGGCTACACCATATGTGGGATTGTTAATAGCTTTGTATAATTAGCTGCCCTAGGAGCCTATGTCTGACCTACTACCTAAAAAAAAAATTAATCAATAAACAAACAAACAAAAGCTGTGATAAATCAACACTAGCCATAGTGAAAAAAACTACCAGAATGAGCACTTTCACTGCCCCAGGTCTGGTGACTATCATTCCTCAACCTTTCTAGCAGGCTGTCACAAAGACCCCTTCCTCCAGCTGTAACTGAGCCTCCCTATTTCAACAACAAGGAGAACTGGTGGCTTAACCTCTAGTGGTAGTACCTCTCTGGTGGTTTGAATTCACCAGAAGCTCTGCAAGACAAAGACGTGCAAACTCCTCCTGTGAGATTCTGGAGGCAGTAAATGGCACCGGAGGAGTCTGAATGTGTGAGTGATTTCAACAACCTCCTTCAATTTTTCCTATATTGTTGTGAGGATGATATTCCCACACCTTTTGCTATTGTTATGGATTTTATTGTACGGAGTAGGAACCAACCTATAGCTGACCCTCCAGCAGGTTTTCAGAGGCAGTAAATCTCATGGGAGGATCTTTCAAACTGTGTAGCTTTACATTGGCAGCTATAAAGCATGCCTCCTATCTAGGGCACTTCAAACCAGAGATGTATATAAAAAAATAAACAGTACATATCTGCAGGGGAAAGGTCTGAATCAACACTTCCAATGTAATCAGTCATAAGGAGCCACAAATAGAAGCATAATATTCATTACTAAACTTCACATATACATGTCAATGTGTATACACAACAATAAACAGAAGCTGTCAAAAAAAGAGTACAGTGATCTTTTCCTTTTTGAAATGAGTGGTATTTATTTCAGTAAATTGAAAAGTATGGTCTTTGTCCTGGAATAGCTCAACGTCACACTATGATAAGATACACCTGTTTATAAACATGACCTCTAAACTCTTGCAACAGTACAAAGACTTAGAACAGTCATGTTTCTTCATACTTGTTCAAAACAGTGTACAGTACGCTAAGACTTATTTAATTATATACTCACCCACGGCTAACCTTTTCAAAAAGTTACTTTACATGTAAGTAATCACACAATCCTGTAAGCTTGATTTCTACATTTTTAGAAGCATATCATTTCATTGAGGAGCTTTCAATTTGTTTAATTTCAAACTGCAGTGATATCTCTTAATGAGATATTCAAGACAAATTTTATTATATTTAATATGTTATTTAAAATTCTTAATCATTTCTAATCAAGAACCAGTACTATTAACATACCATTTGGGGGGGACTGACTGGCAAACAGATCTTCAGATGACTATTACCAACATAAAAGAGTCCAAACACAACAAATAATACAATTCAAGAACAAAAGAAAATTAGCTGAATCAACAAAATAAGACATTTCTAACCTAAAACCTAAAAAAATATGATCATTGTTATGAAATCTTAAATCCAAAATGCGGGTAGTATTTTCAATGACAGGAAAGAAAAAGCAAATATAAAAATCTATCATCTTTATATAGATATAAAGATACATATTATTCACACCTATAATTAACTCCTGATAGTTATATAGGTTCAAGGGTTTAAATGAAATATTTCATGCAAATTCCTTACTTAGATCACCTTAGATACTATAAAATATGTAATAAAATAACCTTAACACCATTTTCTTAAACTATACACAAAATAAAATAAAGTCAAATATCAATATGGTACTCAAACAAGTATACCATAATAAAGAAACATTTCATCAAATGTTTGAAATTATTACAACTTCAATATTTGCCACCTTAAAGTAGTCTCTGAGTAAAACATTCCTACCATGGAGTAACAGCTATGAAAACTTCTGGGTAACTTATCTGAGTAATTTGTGATTATTACCATTATAATCAAATAATCTATATTAAGATTCATTTTAAGACTGCTCAAAGGTGATCAAGTAAATGGCCAGTACTCATATTATTATCCCTAACTCTGTTCTAGAACCAAACATCTATCCAGTTCCCTTCCAAATCTGGACCCAAAGTGCATGACCAATCATACTACAGAGTCTACACAAAAAAAGCTGAGTGAACTTTCTATTTAGGCATTTATATGTATGACAACATTCTGGAACAAGAGGTGCATTGCAAAGTGGACTGGGGAAGAGGAAAGGGAGGAGGATGGAAGAAAACGTGCAACAATGAATGAATTAAAAAAATACTAAGCACTTTAACGTAAATCTGTTACTACTCAGCTTTCTTCTTTTCATTCTCTCTTCTTACTGATCATCGAGTCAGGTGACTTTTCAACTATATAAAGTCCGGTTGAAAATATAGTACTTGATCTCAAAGAGCTAATGAGTTCCCACTCATGACAAAGCTTGCACAGAAATCCTCTCATCGTATGGCATTTAAAGAAAATTTATTATTAAGTAAAATTAATTATATTTTATTAAGTAAAACAGCTAGACCATTTTAATGGTATGCTCACAAGCACAGAGGACTGTACTAGTTCCAAAAAAGTCTACATAGACATAGATTTTCTTTTTTAATGATGTGTACTTGCCTTGTGTCTGCATTTAAGTACAACTCCATAGGCTCCTATAATTTAAAAAAAAAATAAATTAGGGACATGCAAACAAATGACAGGTCTTAGAGTGATTCAATTCCTGCTATGTATATGTTTACGTTGAGTATTCCCATATGTTATAATAATGATCTCCCAAAAGGCAATATTCTAGAATAACGATACAATGAACTGCATATAAATACAGGTATTTCTATTATATAAACATTAGAAACCTAGAATACAAACAAATATTTCAGCAGCTTAAGTATTTTTATTTCTTTCTATCTCTAAAGAAACTATCACTACAGTGTTGTTTTTTTTTTAATTTATGGTTTAAAATACAACACTTTGAAGACAAGATTTGGACACAAGAACTTTAATAGTAAATGCAAATTAACTAAAAAGGAATGACTCTAGGAATCTTAAGAGTTTATAATACCCTAAACAGTAAGCTCCACAGCAAAAATTCATTGCCATCAAGCTGATTCTCACAGAGACCCAAAAGTCTGCCCCATAAGATTTCCAAAGCTGTCATTCTTATGGAACTAGCCACATCCTTCTCCCATAGAGTGACTGGTGAGTTCGAATCACCAACCTTTCAGTTAGCAGCTAGATGCAAAAATCACTGTGCTACTAGGGTACTTGAATGGAGAACTTTCTGGACAGTTTTTTGTGAATTTTAGATCTATAATATGTCTTGGCCAAAAGCATCTGAGGTAGTTTACAGAGGGTGGAAAATTGTAGAAATGATGAGTTTGACTATAAACTGACATATTCTGATTTATCTAACAGTCTCGTATATTTTCCTTAATCTGAGATGATCAACTGAGATGGGTATCTAATCTGAGATAGGTATACTAACGACAAAATAAAATTTCAGAGGGTGGGAGCAGAAGGGTTGAAGATGGGGGAGTTAATCATAGGATCTTAACATGTGATGGGTGGAGAGAGGGGTGGGTAGAGAAAATGGGAAAGATTTGGTGTGAAAAACATATATATGAATTTTGTAAGTAAACCAGTTTTAAATTAGAATTTTAAAAAAAAAACCCAAGGTTTCAAACCAGAAAATCTTAGACTCTGTACCATTACGTCCTTATGCATTCTAATATGTTACCATGTGCTGACTTTCTCCAATCAGCAGTTTTACTGCTTAAAGTCTCTCACTACAACATTTTTGGGGAGAAGGGCAGCTATTATTCCACAGAATAATCCTGACCAAAGAAGGGGAAATGCAGAGCAGTATTTCACATCTTCCTGGACTCTAGAATATCTAGATTCATGATGAAACAATGAAAGCACTGCCCTGAGACAACTTTTAAAACCTTGAACCAAAACTTTATCCTGAAGTTTTCTTAAAATAAAACAAGAGTTTAGCTTAGCTGGTAAAAAAGGTCTGCATGAGCATTTATGCCCTTTAAGAACCATGTATATGTGCCCAAATTGACATCAGCAACTCAAAAGATGAAAAGGAACCTTAGGTGGCAATGAGTTTATGCTAATGAAGAAGGAACGCTTAGAAAAGAAGGGTGAGAATGGTTGCATAACTTGAAGAATATAATCAATATCATTGAATCTGAATGTAGAGCTTGTCAAATTGGTGTATGTATTGCTATATATATATTCTCAACAAAAACAAAATAATAAACTTTAAGAAAACAAAAAGGATCACAATTACAAAACAGAGTTATTAAGAATGACTTATTTAAATAATTAATATAAATAAAAGAAAATAAATAGACTAATGAAGGGAAAAAAGGATTTTTTGGGTAGAATTTCAACTTCATACCTTGAAGCAAGTATTCAAGGCTTAGACATAATGTCTTGTTTCCAATTTGAATAGGATCTACTAACTTAATAAAATCTTGAACAGTTGAACTTTCATATAAGAAAACTTTAAAAGTTATTTGTAAATTCTAAAATATGAAATATTTGTAGCATTTGCTTTAATGATATGGTGGATATGCAAATCCACCAAAACCAACATTATAATCACTCTTCCCTTGTAAATAAAATAATTTATCAAAATTTTCATAAAATTACCTTTAAGGTAAGAATAAGAATTACTAGCAAGGGAAAATCAAGAAGAGGTGGGGAAAAAATGAATTACCATAATTTATCAAATCGATATAATTTATTATAAACATTTTTTCCTAAGAGAGAAAAACGCTATAAAAATCATATTATGGATTATAAAATACATCCTGATTTCAGAGATGTTAAAAGGTGACCAATCATATGCCTTACAATTTATAAAATATGGCTTGTCATTCTGAAATAAATTACTCATTCATTATTTACTACATAGAAAGTAAAATAATATAAACTTAGCTGATAAACTAGAACCCAAAAATTATACTAAAGAAACCATGATTACTAACAACAAGAACACAATCAAGGAAATACAAAGAAATCTTTGACTTCTCAAACTTTAGAGTTTTTAAAATGTTATTCACTTTAGAATGAAGTTATTGTTATTAGCTGGCATCAAGCTAATGGAGACCCTATGAACAACATGTCTTAATCTTGCCCTACTCATAATCTCAGACATGCTCATGTTCATTGTCACAGTCACTGTGTCAATCCATCTTGTTAAGGGTCTTTTTCTCTTTCTCTGACCTTCCACTGATTCCCAGCATAAGGCCTCTTGGCAAGGACTGATCCCTCCTGACAACATTACTAATGCATGCAAGGTTAAGTTTCACCATTCTTGCTTCTAAGGAGCACCCTGGTTGCATTTCCCAAGACAGACTTGTTTACTGCTCTATTGGTAGTTTTTAGAATCTTCCGTACTCTTCTGCAATACTACAATTCAAAGGCATCCATTCTTCTTTCAAAAGCATTGGAAGCAACTGAAAATATGATGGCTTGGAATTAGGAGCAACATGGTCTTTAAATTGATATCCTTGCTCTTTAGCACTCTGGAGAAGTTCTTAATAGCAAGTTTTTCCAATGAAACACATCTTGTGATTTCTTAACTACTATTACCATGGATGTTGACTACGGATCCAAATACAAGTAAATCATCAATGACTTCAATCTTTTCTCCATCTAGCACATTGCCTATTGTCTACCAGCGAGGATTTGTTTTGCTTCTTTGTATTGAAGTGTGATCCATATTGAAGACTACAGTCTTTGAGCTACTTCAAGTGTTTTAAAACTTCTTCTTCACTTTCTACAAGCAAGGTTGTGTCATTTGCATAATGTAGGTTAATGATGAGTCTTCCTTCATCTTTCTTCATACAGTCCAGCTTCTCTAGTGTCTTTCCCTGAATATAATCAGTCTGATTTCTGTGTAGTTCATCAGGTGAGGTTCATGTCTATAGTCACTATTTATGATTTTCTTTTAAAAAAAATAAGTTAGTTGCAATGAATAAATTAATTTCCAGCCTCATTCTGTCATCAAGGTCCTATTTTTGAACTTCCAGGTCTCTTCTTTGCTTCCAACTTTTGTATGCTAGTACCTAATTATCATTAATGCATTTTGGTTGCATGTTTGATCAATACCAGACTGCAGAAGTTGGTAGAAGTTCTCAGTTTCTTCACCTTTGGCTTTAGTTAATACATGTGAATAATAGTTGTAGTAAGGTCTTCCTTGTATGCATATCCTATCACTCACAGCATTGTACATCAATATAGTTCTCAAAATACTCTTTTTTACTGTGAATGCAAAACCATGCTTTAATTTGTCATTCCCAGCATAAAAGAATTCCTGATTATCTAATTCAAAATGGTCAATACCAGTCCACCTCAGCTCACTAACGTCAAACTTGAAATCTCATTAATTTTTTTACAACTTTTCATTTTCTTAGGTTCATACATTCCATGCTCCAATTATTAATGTATGTTTGTAGCTATTTTTCCTCATTTTTTTTAGTGTCATTCAATCAAGAGGCTCTTCTCCTGTATTATATCTTCCAAGTTCCTCCTATGTTTTTCATAGTGTTTTTGAAGGCCTTTTATTTCAGATGTTGGATGGCCAATTCTCCTGCTTCTTAGTCTGTCTCAATCTGGAAGCTCTATTGAAAACTGTCCACCATGGGTAAACCTGTTGGTATTTGAAATACCAGTGGCATAGATTTCAGTATTACAGCAACAGGCAAGTCATCCTAACACCACAATCTGACAGAGAAGTGCTGCATATCATAAAACAAGCAAGTATACAAATATCATAAAACTACCATGCATGCTATGGGAAAGAGAAGACAAACTGCCATGTATCTATAGTCTATCTGCTGGCCCAGCAGAAAACTGAAGCTAGAGTACGCAGTCAGGTTAGAGTTTCTGCTCCTCTGAATGTTGAAGGAAGCCCAAAGATGTGAGCCAGGTTACCTTTTCTGGCCTACAGTGTGTTGAGGGTGTGTCAAGGGGTTTAGGGGCTGGGTACCAAGCTTGGGGAAGGATTTCTGCTAGCCTCAAGTAGTTTGAAATGTAATTTTTATAGTAAAAGAATAAACTATTTAATTATTACATATATCTTAATTGATGCAGAGTGAATGAATGAGATCTGAATTAATATAGTTTTGAGTGATGAGTAGAGTTGTACATTAAGCAAACATTCAAGAAATTATAAAATCTCAACTCACCTTCACCTACAACCCCAAGGATCTCAAATTTATTCATCACATTACCAATGTTAGGAATCTTCATGAAGACAAACTCCTCTTTTGATGCAAGCCACGGAACATGGCAATAAAAAGAATCCTCTGAGTTGAGCAGTTAAAAGGAAAAATATCTGAAGGAAGAAGTTCTCATTTGTTGACATGAATTTTCACATATTTGTTCCAACAATGAAGTAAGATCTGAAAAAACAAATATAATTAAGAGTTATGTTTTATATTCTAATAATCTAACAACTTAAGTTATTATGTTTAATATCCTTGTGTATATTTCAAAAACTCTCATTGCTGTTGAATTGGAATCAACTCCAGGAGGTTTTCAGAGGCTGTAAACCTCAAAGGATAAGCCTGCTCATCTTTATACCACAGAGCAGACGGTAGATTCAAACTTTCTGCCTCCTGGTTGGCAGTGCAACTCCTTACTCATTAGACCACCAGAATTCTTTAAAAACCATTTTATGTTTAATATACCTTTAAAATTGGAGGAAGAGGGCAGAACCTAAAATGGAATAGAAATGAACCTAACTGCACTTGAAATATCTACACTGAATGCAGATAGGAAGTAAAAATGAATCACAGGTAAACTCTGAATATTATAGTTTAACTCTATATTCCCTTCAATCTTGAGACAAAAATAAATGCAAACAAATACTGTACTCTACTTAGATATCTGTTTTTATACAATAATATGAAACCACATAATTTGTTTTCTAGGACTGAGCAATAAGTAAATATATACATTGTGGATAATGAGAGCTTAGTTTCTTCCTTGTGTAAAAATGGAGTTACAAACATGGAAAGAAGTCCGACTTCAGATTGGAGTTAACAGTGTAAGGTTAGTTTTTAATACATAAAGATATATAAATAAATATAAACATGTGTTACTGCGGGAGAGAAGGATGGGCAATCTCCTCCTGTGCCACTGAAAACTCACTGGAGGGGCAGCTATGGGTTGGTTCTGACTCCATAGTACACAACAGCAACAATGTTTTAAAAAACAAAACCCAAACCCCTTACTTCAAATGTCTGTGAGTTTCTCCGTCTTTCTTACATACTTCTTACACACACACACACACACACACACACACTCACTTTCTCTCTCTCTCTCTCTCTCTCTCTCTCTCTCTTTCTCCTGCTCCCTCCCTCCCAGCACTATCTGCTGAGAGTACCTATAAACACAGATAACCTCAGTAGCCATGAGCACATCTAGTGCCCAGATTTTGGGTTTTAAAGACCATTCTTCAATAAAGACAAGCCAGGTTCCTTAGAGAAATGGCTGCTTCCAATATTCTAATAAAAATAGGTGCTGTTGAATCATTTTTAATAGCTAGGACACAAAAGAATATGAGCCTAGAATATATTTTTAAGTGATGCCAGAATGGAAGGAAGTGCTCAAAGAATAAGAGAGTTTGTCAGAAGGACATAGAAGCCATTTGAAGTCACTAGTCTGGGAAGAAAGCCCTTGTTACTTAGTGGTAAGGAGGTGAGCTATCAGCCCAAAGGCTAATGGTCAGAATACACTAGTTGCTACACAGGAGAAAGATGGGCAATCTCGTGCAATTTACAGCCCTCTGGTAACCCTCTAGAGGGTCAGTTCTCACTTGACAATAAGTAATAGCAAGTCAAACTTGGGAAAAATTGAAAACCAAAATAAATAAGGTAAAAGACTGAAACCCATAGGAAAAAAAAATCTGAATCCTTACTAATATGAATGAATAAATAAATAGGGGGGCATTATTTCTTAGAGGAGAATTCCAAATAATAAATGTAGTGATGGAATTAAATAGTCACCATTGCTATTGTTTACTGTAGAATCAGAACCAATCCATAGCTGATCCTTCAGTGGGTTTACAGAGGCAGTTTAATTGCAGAGGAGGAGATAACCTACATTTCTCCAGTGAAGCAGCTGGTGGATTCAAACTGCGTGCCTTTGGAATTGCAGCACAGCTTCTTACTACTAGGCCATCATTAAGCAGGTATCAAAGAAATAACTATTTCAGGCAACTGCCATTATACAGGCTAAAGATGAAACTTCAATGAAAAACACATCACCTATCTCCCCACATGATTATCTATTAATTACAAAGGTAAAAGCAGTAATTTTATACTGAAGAAGCCAGACAGACATCACCTTAATTATCAAAGTTAACATGACCAATAGTAGACCAAGTCAATAATATCAGATGCCTCCTGAAAAGATGCATTGAGAAAGTTCATTCACAATGTCACTCCTGTAGCATTCCTGTAGGAATCTAACCAAAAGCAAAACTTAACTCTAACCAAAACAAGGCAAACTGAGGAACATTCAGCTGAAGAATTGGCTTGAAAGAAAACCTACTGACTGGGAAAAAAAATTTGGTAATTTAATCTCAGACAAGAGTCTCATAACAAAAGTTTACAGAATACTCCTGGGTCTCCACAAGACTGATAACACAATTATAAAATGGGCAAAAGACATGGAAAGAATTTTCACAGAAGAAGATATTCAAATAGCTAACAAACATATGAAGAAAAGCTCCAAATCACTGGCAATAAGAGAGATGCAAATAAAAACCACAATGAGATACCATCTCACTCCAGTAGCAGTGGCAAAGTTTAATAGGACAGGAAGTAATAAATGTTGGAGAGGGTGTGGTGACATAGGATCTCTTTTACATTGTTGGTGGGATTGTACAATGGTAGAACCATTCTGGAAGGCAGTTTGGTGCTTCCTCAAAAAGCAGAACAAAGAAATTCCATATGACTCAGCTATTCCGTTGCTTGGAATATAGTCCAAGAAAATGAGAAATGAGGCTCAAATGGAAATTTGGACACCAATGTTCATAGCAGCATTATTCACAATCGCAAGAACATGGAAAAAGCCCAGATATCCAACCACAAATAAATGGATTGAGAAGTTGTGGTACATTCATACAATGGAATACTACACAACACACAGGAACAATCATTTTGTAAATCACTACCTAAGTTGAAAGGGACTGGAGAGCATTATGCTGAGTGAACTAACTCAGTCCCACAAGAACAAATACAGTATAAAACAATTACTGTAGAATGAGTATGAGGATCCAAGTCAGGGCAGGGGGGAGGGTGGAAATAGAGAGGTGAAGATGGGTGAGAGAGGAGGGTGTTAATCCTAGGGTTGCACAATTCGATGGGTGTTTGGGGTGAAGGAAAGAGGAAGGATCTTTTGTGAAAATGTGTGTGTGTGTGTGTGTGTGTGTATAAAGAATTGGCTTGTATCCTTTTAAAGTGTCTAGGTCATGAAGAACAAGGAAAGGCTGAGTAACCATACTGAATTAAAGAAGTTTCTGAGACACAGTAACAAAATTCAATGAGAAATTCTAGATTAGATCCTGGAAAAGTAAGACAACAAAACCAAATGCATTTTGTTATAAAGAACAACCTGTCAAATGTCTACAGATTAGATTACAGTATTGCACTAGTCTTGATACTTCTCTGATTTTCATACTAGGACTGTGGTTACCTACCATAATGACATTGTTTTTTATAAAAGAAAACCAAAGTTTTTAGGGGTAAAGGGAACTATGGGTTTTTGGGGTTTTTTTAATTCAAATAGTTCATGGAGGAAAAAAGACTTATGCCTGGGGGTAGAGGAGAGGGAAAGTGGAGGAGAGGAGAAGAAAGTAAATATAGCAAAGGTAACATGTGGGAAAACTGGGTCAAAGGTAAAGGAAAAAGGAAATTCTTCATACTCTGCAACTTCTCTCTATACCTCAAATTATTTCAAAATAAGTTACTTAGTTTCAAAAAAACCTATCCTATTTATAAGAAGAATAGAAAAGGTATAAACATGAGATACTGATTTAAAAGGAAGAAAATAATAAAAACAAGAAATGTTCCTTTCTCTCTATTAAAATAAAAAAGTTTTAAAACTTAGAATATCCCATGTGGTGTGGATAAGTAATTGGCAGAAAGAAATTTGCCCTTTCACACCCTGACAGCAGGACTGTAAGTTGATACAAACTTTGTAAGGTCGAATATGTTCATAATTAAATGCTCAGATCCTGATAAAGGAATCAAACAAAAAGCTACAACACACATTATTTTTAAATGTGAAACATCAGACAGAGTCCCTCTAAAAATTAAGAAGATAGCAATTTGAAAATTATTTTCTTTAGCAAAGATTCATACTACTAATACTTATTAGCATTATTATTATTAAACATTATCCTGATGAGTTTTAGGTAAGTCCATGCAATAAGAGAAGCACAATGTCTAAAACTAGAACAAGGAAAGCAAAACAGAAGTTATAGTTATTAATTGACTACATAACAAATTGGAAAAAATGGAATTTTCAAATTATTTAGCAAATGTTTAGCCAGGGTAACTGGATATGAACTTAAGATGCAAATATTAACTGTATCTGTAAATATAAATCAGAAACAGAAAATGTAATTTAAAAACCATATAAAAGAGAGAAAGGAAAAAGGCATCTTGGATTTAATATGACAAAATAGGGAAGATCAGTATTAAGATAATCCTAACATTCTATCCAAAGACATTAAAGAAACCTTAATGAGGAAGATAAAGGACTGTGGGGACGCTGTTTGGTGTTGGTCTTCCATTCCAGAGCCCGCTGACCATGCCCGCGGGTGTGCCCTGGCCCACCTATCTGAAAATGTTCGCGTCCAGCCTGCTGGCCATGTGCGCGGGGGCCGAAGTGGTGCACCGGTACTACCAGC